TTGTTCCCTCTCTGGCTGTCTTTCTGTCAAATAAATAAAACCTTTAAAAATAAATAAATTAATTAATTAATTAATTTAATTAAACTAAAAAAAAGAAAATGTTTTTCAAAGTTTTGGATTAGGGACAGGAGAACCTGGCCCTGTCCTTCCTGACTGGTTTGATCTTGGGCAGTTCAACTCACCTCTCTGGGTTGCAGCTTCCCAACTTTAAGATGGGGATGTGACAGTGCCAGATCTGAGCCCATGTAGTGTGGGTCTGGAGTTCCTGACTGTATTTTTGCTCTAGCCTTTGAGGATGAGAGAGGAACATGTCAGGGGAGGAAGTTGCGAACATCTGAAATCACACTGACCTCAAGGGAAGGAGATGCCTCAATTTCCTTGGGCTTTCCCCTCGTGGCTTCTCACTGCCTCATGCTCAACACATCCTCTCCACTCTGGTTCTCTACAGGGATGAAGAGCAGTGGGGCATCTCCTCCCATCTGCCCACCACTCTTCTCTCTTGACTCACCCCTCTAAGCACACACACTAGGGTACCTCTCTTCTCCCCAGCCCTCTTCCCTTCCCCTCACTCCACTGGGTAGTCGACCCCACTGTGTGCCCCCACCGCACCCTGTTCTCACTCCTGTCTTAGCACAAGCACTCTATTATCATTGCCAGGGAGATTTTTGAAGGCTGGAACCATGGGACATTTTTGAATGGGGGTAGGATTAGTGGTTGTTGGTTATTACCGTTACTATGATACTTGGTTTTGCTTCCAGCAGAAAGACCAATGTCAGGCATATAGGAAAAGCCCCATACATGTTTGTCAAACAGAGGAATAGATGGATGAATAAAATGAGGTTACATGGAGGAGGGCAGTAGAAAAGCTGGTTCGTAGCTGTCTACACTCACTTCAGCTTCCTTCCCCCAATGCCAGAGCTGGAAAAGGGAAATGTTCCCTTGGGGATGATCTTCTAAGGTCATTGATGCCCCTGGGTTGATGGCACTTGGGGTAGAGGATGAATCATGGGGCACAGGTTGGGGCTCACTATGTGGGTAGAGTTTGCCTACAACCTCCCTAGGCCCTTTAGGCCCAGGGAAAGCAGGGACAGGGAAGGAGGAAAGATGTGCTGGCACTGGGGCTGGGGCTGTGGTGGGGACCTCAGCAGAGCATGGCCCAGCATGTCTGGGTCCTCCCCATTCTGGCCCCACCATGAGGAACTAAACTTCCCTGACCCCTAGGGGTAACCAGATGTTGTAACTGCCCAGAGCCAGTGTTTCATCCCTGTGAAGAATGACCAGTCTGCTTTTTTTAGACAACAAAAAAACA